GGATAAGCATCCGGAACGTAATGAGCATTGAGCTGCCGGTAGTCGAAGCGCATACGCCACTCGCCAGTCTTCTTCATTACTAGGACAATTGGGGGGCTGTGCGGACTACGCGACGGCTCGATGGCACCTGCCTGGATCAGCTCATCTACCATCATTTGGTGGGCCACTTCCGCAGGGGTCGTTGTCGGCGGGGCGGGGATCCTCCTGTCCACAGCGGTAGCGAATATACCGACCAAACTATACCTCTCTCTCTATGTTTACAACTACTCTACCGCGTCGTAGCCACGTTCCAACTACACTATTGGGCCGTAGCCACATTTCAACTACACTATCGGGCCGTGGGCTCGCACCAACTATGATATCGGGCCGTAGCCTCGCACCACATGCTACTACTCTAGGTTAGGGTGAATATCGGCTATTCCCGATTTTAGCACAAATACGACCACCCAAGAATACAAGGACCAGCAATTTCCTTCATCGTTTTCCTTATACTCACTCTATTCAGTTGTTCATTAACTACTGCCCTACTGTGTTTCCTGAATTAAGGCCCTGCCGCACTTCTTGCACTTCATCACTCACACTTCTCTTCGCTGCACGTTTACTCACCCTGATAGTTTTTTCACAAGTGCCGGCATGCTCGCTAGCGAGCCATGCGATCACCTCGGCCACTTAGCTTTGCCGCAAGTTTTCGCAACTTCGTCTCGGAGCATTCGCTCTTTGCCACCAAATGGAAGTTGCGCTCTCGAAGGCGGTGTTGAGCAACAGATCAGCAACGCACGGTTGTTGTGACGGCCGGGCGTTGAATTCAAAATTAATTCTAACTGAGCTCCTTGCCCTTAACTAGCTTCAATACATCGGAACCTTGCCGATAACTGTGCTTATTACTAATACAATGCTTATAACCTATGACGATAATTATGAACTGGGGGTGGCTACCTTAGTGGCCGCCTCACAGTATATCGATGGGGGTTGTATTTGCAATCTTTTGAGTTTGATATTGTTTATAGGAGGGAAAATGCATGGCGCACGTAGATTTCTTTTCTCGAACCCCAATTTCAGAGAAGCCTCAGCTCGTATATAAAACCACTGAAAAACGAGTAAACTTAACTGACTTGGTGACACCAAGCTTATAGCTGAACACTAACGAGACACCGAAATATAAGCTTTAATATTTAAATTACAAAACAATAAAATTTACGAAAATATTGAAAATACATATAAATTGAGATTATTTTTTTTTTTTTTTTTTTTATTTTTTTTATTTATTTATTTATTAATGGTCGACAAAACGAGTGTCTTCCTCATTATTCAAAAGATTGTACAATAGAATTATATGCTAAAAGCCTAGTTAAGGATACAATTTTCTAAATAGCATCACCGACCGATGGAGGTGTTTTATTTGCCAGTCCGGCCAGCTGTGCCCCTTTTCACAGCTAATTTTGTCAGTGACGCTAATAGAGCCTACATCTAAGCAGAAGGTTGTAAGTAGGAAAAAAGTGATCTCAAGTAAAATTAAAAAAATCTTAAATTGCTATATTAATAAAGAAAATACAATAAATAGGAAAAAAGAAAGTAAGAAGATTGTTAATAAAGTTAAGCAATGTAAGTTAGATAAAGAGTGTTAAGTAGATAGGACAAAGAGAAAAGTAATGGGAAATCACCGACCCGGTGGAGGAAAAGTTTTCAGCCTGTCCGGCAAGCTATGCCCCTACTCATAGCTAGGAATGGTCAGCGATTTCCCGAAGGTATCCAGAAAGCAACGATTTTATTAGGGGTAAAGACAGTTCGGTAGAGAAAACGTGATGCAAACTATTATAATTTTTACATAGCACGCGAAAAGAATTGTGCACAGCGTAATCAGTTGTGCACGTAGATAGTAATAAGGGGCGATAATTTCTGGTTGGTCTAGCCGGAACAGAGAATTGAAGACGCCCTAGCAGAAAAGGAGAATCAATGTCGCCAATAATCAACTTATGTAGAAGGACAACACCGAGAATTGTCCTACGGTTGATTAACGACGGAAGGTTGAGAAGAAGCAGTCTGCTGGAGTAGGACGGCAACCGAAGATTAGGGTCCCAATTTAAACCTCGTAAGGCAAAAAGCAGAAATTGCTTCTGAACAGATTCAATACGATCCTGGCTGTTGATATACTGTGGAGACCAGATGCAAGAGCAGTATTCAAGGATAGGGCGAACAAGAGAGATGTACAGAAGTTTTGTTATAAAAGGATCGTTAAACTCTTTAGACCATCGTTTAATGAATCCAAGTACACCTTTTGCCTCATTAACAATGGTATCTATGTGAAGATTGAAACAGAGTTTAGAATCAAAAATAACGCCTAGATCCTTAACTGTTAGTATACGTTGCAAAGGGATATTGTCGATTGTATAACTGACAAGATAAGGTGTAGTACGATTAAAAGTCATAAACATACACTTTGAACAATTAAGATGCAATTGATTGGCCGAACACCAAAGTTGCATACCGTTCAAATCTTCTTGTAGACGAGAATGATGTAGGGGGTTAGTGTCTGATAGAAAAAGTTTGACATCGTCCGCGTACATGAGTACACGGGCATGCGAATTAACAGAGGGGAGATCATTTATAAAAAGAGTAAAGAGTAAAGGTCCAAGATGACTACCTTGAGGAACACCAGAAGTAACGTGAACCCTTTTAGAGGTAGTCAACCTTAGTATTACTCTTTGGGTCCTACCTTTTAAATAAGAATTAATCCAAAGTAAAAGGGACAGAGGGAAACCTATTCGGTCAAGTTTAAAAAGTAAAATGTCATGGTGCACAGAGTCAAACGCCTTACTGAAGTCAGTGTAAATGACATCAGTTTGCATTTTCGAAAGGAAAGCATCATTTACCAAGGAAGTAAACTCAAGCAGATTGGTCGTAGTTGACCGATTCTTTACGAATCCATGTTGAACAGGGGAAACAACTGATTTGCAGAAATGCTGCAAATTCGAAGTGGTTATTTTTTCAAATAATTTAGGAATAGCGGACAGTTTTGCAATGCCCCTGTAATTTTGTATATCAGACTTCCCACCTTTCTTGTGAAGAGGAATGATATAAGAGATGGAAAGACAGAAGTTTCAAGGGATAGATTAAAAAGCTTTAGCAATGGATAAAAAAGGGGGGAACTACACTCCTTGAGTAGACAACTAGGAATATTGTCCGGCCCAGGAGAGTAAGAAGATTTTAAACAGTTTATAGCTAATAGGAGAGAGGAGTGTGAAATAATGGGGGGAGGTATAGAACTAGCGGAAGAAATAGTATAAGGGTAAGAATTAGTATTAGGACAGACTGAAGAGAAAGTTGATTGGAAAAAATTAGCAAAGAGGTTAGTAGAATCAGTGTCATTGCTAGCTTTATCCATCCCAAGAAAAAAAGAAGATGGCAAACTTGAAGATTTACGCTTCAAGTTTACAAAATTATAAAACTGTCTCGGATTTCGGGCGAATTGCCTTTTACAACGAATTAGATAACTCTCATAGCATTGAGAATTAAGAAGAAAGAAGTTCGACTTGGCTATGGAATATTTAGCCAAGTCTGTACACGAACCAGACTTTTTAAACTTTTTAAAATATTTGAATTTTACATTTTTTAGATGTGATATTGTGGGAGTAAACCAGGGTGGTTTTGAAAAAGTAGTCGAAGGAATTGACTAAGGAATACACACATCTAAGAGGGAGTTTAGGGTGATATAAAAAATTAATGGCTGTATTCATATCAACTGAGTCATATAAGAAAGACCAATCGGTTGAATAACTAAGCTGATTCAGCAAAGAATAATTTCCTTTGCGAAAGCAATAGCGGGGCTTATTGGCTGATGAGCACGAAATGAAAGGATTACAATTTAGCATTGTAATCTCTAAAGTTGGATGATAGACATCCTTAGGAAGAGATAAAGGAGGGGACCTAGACACATTAGAAATAAGGTAGTCGTTAACAAATACAAGGTCAAGTGTTCTATTCATATGATTAGAAATTGAATTGATTTGAAACAACGAAAGATCAAGCATGCAGTATATAAAATCGTGCTGTGCTGAGGGCACTGGATAATTTTCAGCAGTGAATAATGACCAAGAGATGTTCAGCAAAATCATAGACGGACTTTTATATACTCACATGAATGTTTGAGAGCATTACCGGTCAAGACAGTGGTGATGAGTGGTCTCGTTGAAACAGACGCAAATGGTGGTACCAGAAGTGGTACAGAGAGGTGTGGTGGCGTTAAAACATACGCAAATTGTAGTACCTGTGAGGGTGCTAATAAAGATTGTGGCGTTGAAGCAGGCACAAATGGTAGTACCAGTGAGGGTGTTAAAAAAGATTGTAGCGTTGAAACAGACGCATAAGCTTGCACTAGCAAAACCATTCTGAGAAACATAGGTAGAATTGGTGCGTTTCAAAATGATTATCCATTTTAAATTTTTTGCAAAATTTAACCTTGAGCATTGTTTATGTAACACCTGAGCAGTGCCTGTCAACGCGAATTGCTGAATGCATACACGAGGTCGTGTAAGCGTCAGGATTGGCCATCTCGGAGAATGTATGTACCAAAAATGACTGTGAACATAACATAACATCATAAGAAATATTAATTTTCAATGATTCTATATCGCGAGGGGTGGAGATATTGAATTTGCTTATTAACACATTAACAAAAGAATCAAAACAGGCAATAACACTTTGCACAATTTATAAAAACGCAAAATTTGGAAATAAAAAGCAGGATTATAGCGCAAAAATGTATTAAAATCTTGGAGCAGAGGAATACACTTCAAGCACTTTCAACTGAAAACTCTCTCCCGATTAATCATAAATTTATTTATTAAATGGTCAAGTTACTTACGGAACTGCTTGTTTCTCTTTTGGCCGGCTTGTTTATCGGTTCTCTGGTTGTAGTCCCATCTCAACAAAGCTACAATGAAATGAACAACATAAACAGCTGCAACGACAACAAAGGTGAGACGCTAATATAAACTAGCAAAAAAAAAAAATCACTACCAATCCACTTTACCTTTCCGGATAGGATCCCGGTTCTGGAACCAGTATACCCGCTCTACATGAGGCGATCACCCGATCTCATCTCCCTTATTTTAGCCATTAGATTGTCAGCTGTCATGCCACCTCTCACCATCAATGGTGAGCTGGTATACAGCCGAACATTGTTTTCCTTCAGTCTGGGCGTATAATTGTTTTCTTATTTATTTTTACAGCACATCCTCACTCTGCCTTTGTGATTTCGTGCAAGCTGCCATTTCTCTCACTTAACAGGTGCGTATAATTATTTGCTTCATCTTATAATTATTAACAATGCACCTCACCGCTTTTTCTACTATCTTTTTACAGGATATCTCCACTCTGTTATTAATAATTTCGGCAGGCTGACATTGCTCGCACTTCAACAGGATCGTATTATACTTTGCATCATCTTATAATAAACATAATTGATATTAATTTCTAAAATTTTAATTTGTTTACATAACACATTTTTTGTACAACTTTATACTGAACAGAGGACGAAAACACCAGCCAAAGTTATTGCCAGTCGCAAAGAAAATAAAACAAAGGCAAATGATATCAATACAAGGTAATTATTGCACCAATGGGGGAACAAGTACCCACTGAAATAAATGTGCGTATATATGTGCCACAAAGAGAGATGTTATATATGTTTTAAAGCGCTTATTATACCTTATCTTTCTAAAGAGCGGTAAGGGCAATCATAATGTGTATTCTGTACATATATATACAAATAGGTGGTTATCGTTCGTGCACATGCGAACACAAATATATTTTTTTGTTTTTATTTATTTGGCAGACGCAATAACCTATTTGGCCTTTCTTTCACTGTTCGCACTCTAGGAAGTTTTTCTTAAGAGAAATTTGGCGTAAGTACGTGCATATAATTAACATAAAAAAACGAAATTTAACAAATGCAAAAATCTTTTTTCAGTCAGGGGTCTCCAACAAGAGTCTGCGTCTGACTCTGTCTGCTACTCGGGGCGAGGAAGGACAACACGGAATAGACTCACTCGGATGATGTGCGCTTCGCCAGTGGCCGCTTCTTAACCAATCCTCATTGCGCCAAAATCGGGCCTTTTGGGTGACCTGCTGGCCTCTCTGGGCCGACAGCTTCTTGGACGGCCTGAACTGTCGAGCGTGGATCCTTGCCGTTGGATCTGCTGCCCGTTTCTTTTATTTATTAGCTTGTGCTTTATTTCTGTTCATCCGTGTGGGCTTAAAGTTTTAAATTTTTGTATTTTGTGTTTCAGGACTTAACATACAAAAAAATTCCTTGTTATTCTTTTCTTTTTTAGTACATATCGGCTTTGGTTGGTCGGTTAAAATTTGTCTTCGAGTACTTTTATACGGGGCTGGCATAAAAACAAGGAAAACAACTTTAATGTGGTTTCGAGCACGGCACGCCCGTCGTTGACCGCTCACAAAATCAAACTCCCTGCTGGACATTTGGGCAGCTCCATCATAGGTGCCAAAAGTCGGCAAACGCATACATTCAAATATGGTCGTCGTTGCTGCCCACAGTTACATTCTTAGGTCAACGGGCCAGTCAACGGCATCGGCAAAGGCATCCAATCCGCTTATTACCCTACGAGTGAATCAGGCGGGCAACCCCCTATTCTCTCTCACCTTTTTTCATTCAATTCGATGGAACTTGCTGTAGGCGTTGCCAGCATTCCAAAAGTTGGGGCGCTCTAAGGTGTTTAGGGCCCGCACGGATATATCAATAGACATTAGTGACTCCCCATGCAACAAGGATTCCTAACGGGAACATTGGAAGCAATGGGTTCGGTGTCGGATCTCCTGCCTCTGTATGCGCCCAGCTAGGCCGGCCTACCCCTTTCCTTACGCTTAGCCACGCACAACGTAGGGCACATCACGATCTTCTTCTATGCCCGGCTCACATTCGAGTTCTTCCTCTTATTCCGCTTAGAGCGTCATTGACACGGCCAAGAGCTAAATGCTCGCCAGAAATCAATCCCAAAATAGGCTCGGTGTTTCAGGTAAGGGCATATAAAAAACGTTATTTTTTATGCTGTGTCCTGTGCGACCCTACAGTTAATCGATTTATCCTCTCCTCCAGCGGTTGTGACTACCGAAACGTAAGGTTGCTTTTCCCAGCAGACTGACAGAGGCTCTTATATCTAACAGCCCTTTTATTTTTATCTCAGCGACCTCCACCTCGGCGAATACGCGTGGGTCTAGGCTATCCTTTCGTTTCACAGCTTCAATGACCTGGCGCCTCGTCAATTTTCGCACTGTGGACAGCATGTGTCCTCAGTTATATCAGAATATCTTTCGCTCTTCGGACTGGCAGTCTCTAAGGACATAGTCGGACTGACTACAGTTCTAACATACAAGCCTCGCAGATAACCTGCATCGCACGAAAGCTTCCTCCAGCTCTTTAGGCGGAGCTTCCGCACGATGTGGTGATATCTTAATCTTATGAACTATCGGTTTTGCTCCTTCTATAATCGCGCAACGAGTTGACGCATATGGTGGATGCTATCATCCACCTCTTCGCTGGTTGCTCTCGCTGTAGTATCTCCTACATCAAATCATGCTCCGTCTGATAGCCGCGGAATCTGTCTAAGCGACCGTGCCGCAGTTGCATCCAGCTGTCGACCCTAGAATGCCTGAGAGAGCCTGAGACAAACAAAACTAATAAATAAATAAATAACATTTGACAAAACTACAGTTGTATCACAGTTTTATCACAAGATGCCTTTGTCATTGCGGCTACCACCAGGCTACGATGAACGGTCGCGAATGTTTCACCAACATGCAAACGTGACTTACCGTCATCAACCACGACAAGAAAAACTTCTCATGGTCATGGATATTCTGCCTTCATTTATGGATAAATATGCGTGTCTCCGTCGTGTGACTTGGTTTCCTTAAGCCGAGGGAGACTTTTCTCTGTACCTGTATTGATATATTGTAGCGTGTATATGCCTTAAAAGAACACCCTTTATAAATTATGCGGCACTTTGTTACATACAATAACAATTATTCATTAAACAAGCCCAGAGCCACTTTATATATTGGTTCTGACTCATATTACGCAGCACAGGTCACTAGCATCTCTAGCTGACCGTTTATGCTTACGCTACACTTCCCAATCTGAGCGTCTGAGTCTGAGTCTGAGCGCATTCCATTAGCAACATATTGGCTCACTAACGCAGTCATATGTAAGCTACTCACTCTCTCTTGTAGCTGTTAACCAATAACAGCATAAGTATATACATATATATCTTATATTGACTTTAAATAAATTCATTCGATTTCAATAACCAAACAAGCATTGACGTACTGCAGCTACCACCACTTGCTTGGGCAACATCCCAAAAGTTACAAGCAGAATGAGATTTTCTAAAATCTAGCCTAATAAACAAGAATTCCATTGACGCAACTCACCACTCTATTAGTAATATATTTAAGAAACAAGTAATAATACCACCACCGCCGTCTCAGATCCCAAAGATGAAACAACATGCCCCAACTCTTCAGTGGAGCATGCAACTCAACGTGCATGACGAATACGACCTGTGCGATGACCGACAACGGCTGCCTGAGCCCATAGGCCCAGGACATCAGCAGCAGCCAATCAAGAAGCGCGAAGGGCACACCGCCGCTTGCGTCAACGAGGGAGCATCACCGTTCCACATACGGCGACGCCTAGCTGATGCAGCAGATGCAGCATACCTACACTTATTATTATTTTAATTATAAACATAAAAATTGTTGTAAAATTGCCCGATTAGAAGCATAGTTCGTAAAGCTATGCCAAACGATAGGTAGGATCATATAAAAACTATAATTATCGTATGTATGAGGATAATAAAATAAATATATGGCATACACTTAGAAAACAGACCCAACATGAGTTTAGTAGATTCAAAGACAATGGACTCCACTGCTAGTGTTATAATTCAAGTTGAAGTCGAGAATCCAGATCAAAAGCTAACATGTAACATTGTTAATAAAATTAGTAATTATAATGTGCATAAATATGTTTTATAAAATGTACAAACTGCACAACAAATGTTTAAAAAAGAAATACTTAAGCAGGGCTGGTATAAAAATGTACTAGAAATATAAAATTTAAGAATGACCGCCAGTGATATATCGGTCATAAGCTTGTCCCACGAACTCTGGTGGCCCTCGATAAATTGCGTTATCATGACTTTCACGGCCCTGTTGGTCCTTTCGGTAGGATTTTCTTGCGGACAGTACGGGGCGTTGTATTGGACCTTTACACCCAAGCACTCCAGAAAAGCCTTGAAACTACGGCTTGTAAATTGTACTCCGTTGTCGCACACGAACTTCCTGGGTACTTAAAATGCTCTCCCGGAATGCGATCTGCAGGTGTGCCGACGTGGCCTTCCTGAGAGGGACCATTTCCACCCACTTTGAAAAGGCATCATGGAGCTCCACAATGCTGTGTTGCCATGCTTCGAGCGTGGAAGGGGCCTGACGAAGTCCGCGCAGAGTACTGCAGTCTCCGCCACCAGCCTCGTCAGCATATGTCCAGCCGGTTTAAGTTGCTCGCTCTTGAATTTTTGACAGATTTCGCAGCACTTCACGTACTTGGCGGCGTTGCGAAACATACCTAGCCAGTCGTATCTGTGGGCCAATCTCGACACGGTTTTCCTCACGCACTGACGTCCGGCCGTGGAAGCATTGTGGCATTCCTGCAATACCCTTTGTCGCTGATCAGTTGCCCATTCTCTTCTATGTAGTCCGAGAACTTGGCCGGCTCCTCGGCGATTTATGTACGCATACCCGCGACCCACTTGCAGGGTGACTCGGCTACTACTGCTTGTTGACAGGTTTCTAGAGGATGTCTTGATGATCCGTTATCACGTCGAAATGGTACCCCTCTACGTAGCAACTCAGCTTCCGGATCGACCATTCGATTGCTAAGCACTCCTTCTCGTTGGCGGAATAGTTCACTTCGGCTTTCAGTAACTTTCGGCTCGCGTACGGTATCACTCGCTCCTGTCCCTCAAGCGTCTGTGCCAGCACTGCGCCGAGGCAGTACACGCTCACTTCAATCCGCAAGATGATTTTGGCAGAAAAATCAGGACAAGCCAACACAGGGGCAGTCGTCAATTGATGCAATGGCTTTTCCTGTTCTTGTTCCCATGCCCATATCCAACACACCAACCGGTCCTATTACTGTGCCTAAGGCTCATTGAAAAGTTGCACATGCTGCCATTGGTATTTGCCAGTACCCGTCCTTCAAGGCCAGAGTGGAGATGAACCGGGTGTGAAACATCCGCTCTAGGATGTGGTTGATCCGGGGAACGGGATAAGCATCCGGAACGTAATGCGTATTGAGCTGCCGGTAGTCCATGCGCACGCGCCACTCGCCATTCTTCTTCATTACTAGGACGATTGGGACGCTGTGCGGACTACGCGACGGCTCGATGGCACCTGCCTGGATCGGCATCTACCATCATTCGGTGGGCCACTTCAGCAGGGGTCGTTGTCGGCAGGGCGGGGATCATCCTGTCCACAGCTGTAGCGAGTATACCGACCAAACTATACCTCTCTCTCTATGTTTACAACTACTCTACCGGGCCGCAGCCACGTATCCCCAACTGTACCGGGCCGTAGCCTTGTACCACCTACTCTACCGGGTAGTAGCCACATTCCAACTACACTATTGTGCATTAGCCACATTTCAATACATCGGCATCTTGCCTTAACTGTTCTTATTACTAATACAATGCTTATAACCTATAATGAAAATTATGAACTGTGGGGTGGCTACCTTAGTGGCCGCTTCACAGTATATCGATGGAGGTTGTATTTGCAATCTTTTGAGTTTGATATTGTTTATAGGAGGGAAAATGCAAGGCGCACGTAGATTTCTTTTCTCGAACCCCAATTTCAGAGAAGCCTCAGCTCGTATATAAAACCACTGAAAAACGAGTAAACTTAACTGAATAAATATTGCAAATACATATAAATTGAGAATAGGCTTACTTTATCGTAAAATTCATCGAACCCGATGGTTACCAGTAGTTCCGAAGGCATATAGATGGGCCGCTATTAATCATATTCACGAGGCTATAATGCAACTTGGTTCGGAAAAGACCCTTGATAAGGTGTATAGTTGCTATTGCTTTGACGGAATGGCAAAATATGTCAGAAAATTCGTTAACAATTGCATAACGTGTAAACTATCGAAACCACCTTCCGGGAAAATTCAACAAGAAATACATCCGTCACCCAAAGTTGAAATACCATGGCACACAATTCATTTAGACATCACTGAAAAATTAAGTGGCAAATGCGACCAAAAGCAATTAGTCATTGTTCTTATAGATGCGTTTACAAAGTACGTGTATTTTACTGCAAGTGGTATACAGTCAGTTAAGGCAGTTATATCTTTGTTCGGTGTACCAAGCCGTATGATAGCTGATCAGGGCCGATGTGTTGTGGCGTGTTGGCATAGGAGCTAGTCGCGCGAATATGCAGGTTGAGCGTGTGATGAGGCACTATCAAATGTTTGCTAATATGTGTAGACACAGGTCAACTTTCATGGCAAGAGGCATTAAGAGGTTCAATTGGCAATAAATTGCACATCCAATCGTGTTACCAAATCGTGTCCACTACAACTTCTAATAGGAAAAG